TTCCCCTGGTTTTGCTCTCCCCCTCTTTACCTCAAAAGCCCCGTGAGCTGCAGAGCAGGAGGCAGCTTGTGTGAACCGCTGACGAAGCGGCTGCAGGACTGGGCATAACTAATTAGAGCCTCTATAAAATGACATCAATTTCCACAGATGGGAAGCTGCTTCCCCTTTTTATGTCTATTTCAGTTAATTAGTTATCTCAGAGGTTGCATTTGCATTCCCGGCTTTGTGAAATACCCTTTTGTTAACTACTCTTCATATATTTTTATGAAGTCGGCCACTGAAACGAGCTCATTTATCTCAGCAGTGACAGGCTGCGAGGCTTGCCCAGAGCTGGGTGCCAGATGCCGGGATTGTAAAATAATGTTTGGCTTGTCTTGTGTTTGGAAAGGAGACAGAAGGTGCAAGCTGTGAGAGGAAAGTCCCAGGCTGCTAAAGCCAAGGCCTGGATCTTGACAACTTCTACAAAAATGTCCAATCTGTTACTTTGGGGCAGCTTGTAGGAGCTGGGAAGGTTGCACTTGTCATCAGTCCTGGGCTTGGATATCTCTATCCTTATCCGATGGGAGTGGGGTGTGAGCATCCAGCCTCCTTGAGCTTTTCCTGCTTCATCCTTCCCCCAGCAGCGCTGAATGTGTGTCCCCCTGTGGGCAGGGAAGGCTTCTGGGGACCCTCCCTGCCCATCGGAAGCCTGTTGACATCCCAAAGCTGCTGCTCCAGTCACACTGCACATTTACCCTCCATTAGCGAGATCATGAGCAGGAGCAGCACTGATCGATCACCATCATTATTGCTAGGAAATGTTTGCAAAATCAATGTTTCCTCTGTAGCAATTAGGGCTGCTGTTGGTCGGCTGTTTTTCAGGCACGTTTCTGCCATAAAGAGTGAAAAATGCTGAAAAACTGCAAGGTATGATGCAACAGATTTCCTCATTCCTGGTGGCACAGCTGCCTTCTCTCTGTGCAAGGCTCTGCAAAGGCTCAGAGCAACTCGTCAGGCTTTGGTGTGCACTCCTGCATGGTGGGGAAACTTTCCCTGGCCACTTGCATGTGTTTAGGGACTATGGGAGAAGCCCACGGGCATTACTGCAAGTGATAATTCTATATGCCTTCCCCTTGCACCTCTGCTCAGGATGCTCCTCACCTCCTCGCTGGTCTGTGCGGGTGATGCATGAACATTGCTAAATGCCCAAAACGGGGCAGACACTGTTGGTGGTGCAAGATTTGTGTTTTCAAGAGGTTGTAGTGCCTTATGCATTGTGGTTAGCATATGGAGGGGCATGGCTGCGTGAGCTTGGCTGCTCCAAGGCATTTTCCAGGGACTCCAAGGGATGTTACATTGGAAAAAGGGAATCCTGCTGTGGGTTCAGCCATCCCTCCATTCCAGGAGAGGTTTTTTTTTGGTGACAAGAAACCATACCTTTAAACTAAAAATATGAAAATTCAGAGCACAGCCCAATTGTTGAGGGGGAAATGAAACCCAAAATACGTAAATCTCTTCATTTTCTGCACCACTGAGTTTGTATTGGCCTGTTAGTTGACGCTCCTGAAGGTATCCGCTGGGATGCAACTATTATACATACAAACTGTCACAAATGGAAAGTCGCTTTGAAAGACAAAGGGTAATTTATTGAGAAAAGGGTGTCATTTAGGTGGAAGGATGGAAAGAGGAGAGACAGTTGCTGCAGAACTGCCAAAAGAGAATACCAGATCTGCTGATAGTCAGGGAACAGCTTTGCATTTCCAAGGGTGCCCTTGAGGCATAAGAAAATAAAAGCTAAGGACAAAAAAAAAAAAGCCTTGAATACAGTGACAGCAGAAACCTGAAGGATCACAGTGAAAAATGGGACTTTCTCCTCTCTAACAATAACCGAGAAAAAGATAGGAATGTAATTTGTAAAAGCTGTTAAATTGCCACCAAAAATTGTACGCTGCATGGAGAAATGACACAGAGGGAAAAAAGAAACAAATGCATACCTGTCATTCCTGGAGTACTGCTTGAAAATGGGACAAGGCAATGAACGGGGTGGAGGAGAAATGGAGCTGAGGAGGGGAAGAGCTGGGAGAACCCACACAGCTTGGCCAGCAGACAGGAGCTGGTCACCACAAGCCCTTTAACTGGGAAGCCTCTGTGGGCTGTGGGAGGAAAATGGTTTTGTGTGTCTCCATAGAGCCACCTTTTTGGTTTGGTTCTGAATAATTGAATAATACGTTCTCCTCTGTCTTTGAGGGAGCTTATGGAACTTCCCCTAAGGAGCCAGGCTTGCTCCTCTCCAGGCTTGGAACTCCAGAGAGAACTGCTTGCCAGGAAGGAGTTTGCAGGACGGGCTTCCAGTGACAAACTTTGGAGGAAATTAGTTGCAAACAGCCTGGAGAAAAAGGTGATGATGTCTCCAAGAGCCTTGCCCCAAGGCTCTAGGTTTGCATGCTGCCCTTGGGGTGCAGGTGATTGTGCCAGTGGGATGGGGAGACCAGGAGAGACTGGGCATCTCCAGCACTAGCAGGACATCGCCCTGTGCAGGTCCCCTCCGGACCCTTCCTGGCCCCCCTGCCCCCCAGGCATCCCGACAAAGCCAAATGGCACTTTAGTTATTTTAAAGCCATTAAAAAAATTGATCTGCTGGGGAAGCAGAGTGAGTTTTGGGCACAACTCCAAAGTGTTACAGCATTAAAGGCTGCAGAGCGTGGGTGTGAGATGACTCTCATGTGCCCACCCTGGTCCTCAGCAGCACTTGCAGCATCTGAATTGACTCATGTTAAATTACCAGAGGGTGCTGGGGGTGATGTGTCTCAGCCAGGGTCCGAAAGTTGAGCTGAGGCTTTTTCAGCTGCAAACCCATCAGTGAAACCAACCAGGCACCATTTTCTGATGCAAAAGCATCACTGTGTGATGTGGACGTAGAAGCACATTTTTAGGTACAAAGTCTGCTTCAAAATGCCACTTTTATATTTTTCATGTGGTGATTGTCTAGCAGATATTTCCCTCAAGTCCTCGGAGGTGAAATGCTGGTGCTAGATGAGATGTCACCATTTGTATTAGAGAAGTCATTGAAACTAGTTCTTTCTCAAATGGTTTAGCTGCAAACACGCTCATACACCCAGGTACAATAAAAGCAGGGTCATCATTACCAAATTGTGATATTTCTCATGGCTGTCTCAAACACTGGGTGTGGGAATACTTCTTTTCAGCTGGAAACATCTATGATTAAGCCTCAGCCAATGAGAAAAGTAGCTAAAATTGCATTTCCAGCTCCACAATTTAGCAGATCTGCATGAGCATCTCTGGCCCAGAGCGTTGTATGGGTGGGAAGTTTCTCCTGAAAAACAAAGCAGTGCAAGACACCAGGTTTTGGGGAACAACTAAACCTCCAGAAAATACAAAGCCAGGGAGGAAAATGAGGTGGGGGAACCTTCCCAGCTGCAAATGTCCCCCAAGTCCTCCTGCAGCCTTGGGGCTGAGCCCCACAGCTCTGCTCCTCAGACTGCAACTCACTGCTTCTGCCCTCCGATGTCTGGTCACATCATTCTAAATCAAAAGTTGCAATAGAAAAGAAGTGTTGGACAGGTTAAAATGCAGGGAAATAATAGCAAGGGTGTTTTTTTCCAGGGTTGAGAGGAAAGACAGGGGGGGAGGGAGGGAAGGAGGAGATGTTTCCAGATACCCAGTCCCTTTAGAGAGCTCACAGGATTCAAATGGTTGGAGTGATCTTGACAGGCTAAAAACCCAATCTGCTGAAAATCATATACCTCAAACAATGTGCTATTGCTGCTGATCGTCCGTGTACTTTAGGGCTGAATAGATACAGTATTAAATTCATCTCAAGTTCTCATTTGTCATCAGTTACTGCTTGTTTGATGAGGTTTGAGTGAAGTTTGAAAGGCTTTTACTGAAAACGGTTGTAGGAGGAGTGAGAATTGATGGGTTTCCTCAAGAGCTGAGCAGCAGCTGCCTGAGGCCCCCAGGTGCCTGTGGGGCTGAGGTTTCTCTGCTGTGAACCCCAAGGTGCTTCTCAGGAAAGAACTCAAGGATTATATATAATTAATCAAAATATAGATGAATATTACCTTACTGTTATGATGATATTCAAGTCTCCCGCTTCCCACCGCTTATAACCACTGAGGTTTCTATCAGTTTTGGGAAGTGATGAACTTTTATTTACCTCAAGGCAAAACATGTTTGTTATGATCTTGCCCTCCCTCACCCACCAGCTGTGGTGTCCCTAAGCATGGGGACACACCTTAGCTTGTCCCCCAGCTGAAAGAAAGGTGAAAAATTTCATCTCCTTAGACTCATCTAGGTTGGAAAAGCCCTTCCAGATCCAGTCCAGCTGTTCACCCAGCACTCAAGCATAGGCAACCACAAGCTCGGAGAACCCCCAAACTACCCACTGCCTCCTGGTGACTCCGGTGTGGGTAAGGGGTGAACTGACCAATCAAGGGCAGGCCAAGGGCCAGTAGATAGATACCTTGTTGCTGACTAATGAGCAGTGGATACATTGTTGCTGCCCAATATGTAGTAGATACCTTGTTGCAGCCAATGGCCAGCAGATACCTTGTTGCTCATCAAACAGCTGTAGTTACATTGTTGCTACACAAGGATGAGTGGATACCTTGTTGCTGACTAATGAGCAGTAGATACCTTGTTGCTGACTAATGAGCAGTGGATACCTTGTTGCTGCCCAAGGTGCAGTAGCCACACTGTAACTTTCCCCCTTTCTAGCGCAGAGCCACTGTCCCTCCCCCGGTCCCTGTGCAACCTGAGCTCCCCGGTGTTACCCCGCGCGGGATCCCAGTGACCCCGGTGGCTCAGTGTCGGTGCCTCTGGACTTTGCACAGTGGCTGCAGAACACATTTAGGGGTAAAAGCGCAGCAGAGTGTGTGGCCTCGGGGCCAGGGTGGAGCCAGTGGCAGAGTCTGGGTAGCAGGTGTGTGTTTTCCTGACTGGGAAGCCAGACTTTTGAATAATTTAAGGAATAAAACCACTCAGGTTCCTGTTGGGGAACAATGCCAGCATCTAAAACCCACAGAGTTGAGGCACCTCTGGTGGGAGTTGCAGCCAAGAGTAACCAATTCAAGGCATCTGTGGTACCAGAGCCACCCAAGAACAGCAAAGTCAAGGTGCTGGCAGCCACTGAAGTGTTGAATCCTCCAGATTTTGTGCACATCCAGGAATTGCCTGGCCTTGGGCAGGAGGAAGGAACGGTCTTGGCCAGAAGCAGAATGGTTTACAGAAGCAGTGAACCTCCAAGAGAACAAATGTTCTGGGAAAACTACCACAGGAGGCAAAAGCAATTCACTCAGGGACACTTCACACCCCTTGGGAGGCCTTATCAGGAGATTGGAGAGATTCTCTACACAGACCCAAAGAAACTCACCCTCTACTCTTTGGGGCAGCTTCCAGAGGTAGGCCTGACTTTCCTGGTTCTGCTTGAGATAGAACAGCAGGGAGCCCTTTCTTCTAAGTAAATTGAAAGCCCCTATTTCCAGGGAAAGGAATCTTTGTTTCTGTTTAAAGAAATGTTTGAAACTATTTTCCGTGTCTTCCTGTGAATAACCACTACCCCGTATAATAGTTGATGTGGGTACAGAGCATTTGTAAATGAAGCAGGACTGCTTTGGTGTGGGTCTTGTGAGCTGGCAACTGGCTTTTGAAACTGGTCTTTAAAGTTCTTCATAAGAGCACTTGAAATGGAGCAGAGACAGTAGCAGGCTAATGAATGGAAAGGATAATGTGAGATAATGAGAATGTACTTAAAGGGAAATACTCGGGAGAAGGTAATAAGTCTTGAAAATGGAAGGAGAGGAACCATACAGAGGGCATGAGGGTAAAGGATGGGTTTAAACGCAGGAATGGCAAAGGGCTGGCAGCTGAGGGGTAGGTAAAAAGGTCAAAAGGTGAGCATAAGAATGGTGTAAGAGGTAAAGTGCTAGTAAAATAATTTAAGTAAGTAGGGCCGTAGCAGATTTTGTATTTTACTTTGCATCTGTATTTGGGTTTCAGGAAGGTGTAAGGGGGTTAGCCGTGGGTCTCTGTGATACTTTTTGTGGTTGTCATCTCCTGGTCTCCTCAGTGCTGTATACCCACTAACTTTGTGGGTCTTGGTCTGTCTCAAGCTACTTGTGAGTCAAGCTTGAATCATTAAAGCACAGGCACAAGAACTCAGTCATCGATGCTTGAGATGAGCTTGCAGTGTTCTGCTACTTGCTTTCTTTCCCTCAGTGCTGTTGGCTCCCACAAGGAGGTCTGAAGCTCTCTGAGTTTTCTGTGCTGTTCTGTGTGGAGCCGTTTTCCTTGTGGAAGCAGAGGGAAGTGTCTCCAGCCTGTCTGTAACATCGGTCCCTGTGACTCTGAGCCAATGATTTGCTGTCTGCTTCCTAATGGAGTGCCCGAGGGGTAGGCTCTGGCTGGTGCAGCAGGAGCAGTGTGGTTATCATTCAGGGTAGGCAGAAAAGATTCTGTCCACCCACTACTTAATTTTCTGCTCTAATTGTGTATGTTGTATTCAGAGCTTAAAGTTTTAGATGAAGTGTTTTAAGCTCTAAATAGTCAATGGGTGTCATTCGCTATTTTTACATCCTACCTAAAGCAGCATCTTACTCACTGTCCTCGTTCAGAGGCTTGTTTCTGTAAATTAGTCAACATCCAGCAAGTGTTTCAGTGTTCTTATTTTCACTTCAAATATAGCTTTCCTTCTGAATATTAGAAGTTACTTTCAAGATTTTTTCAACAGCAGATATACTCTAACATTCTGGTAATCCTGAAAATGTTGGTTAATTTGTGGTGCTTGTTGTTTTGGTGTTGAAAAATAACATCAGTATTTGATCCTTATCCTGAAAACCATTTGGTACTCAGCTACTTAACCTGGCCAAATTAACAGTATACAATTTATACAGAAAATAAACCATTATTCAGGTGACTAGATGTGTGGCTGTGGCTTATACTTTAGATTCACAATGCTATCAAGAGAGGATGTAGTGTCACCCACCATTCCTTTTTGTGGAGAGCACAGCACTAGTCTTGAAACTCTCAGACTAACTCTTATTTTTTAACTTGTCCTAAAAGGTAAAGGTTGCTAAGTTGAAAAACTAAAAAAATAATTTCCTGGCACTGAATCTACCCTATCCTCTGCTTCCTTCCAACCCCACGAGCGGAGGGAGGCCCAGGGGTTTCGTGCTGTTCACACACCAACTCTCACTATTTAAGCTGCCAGCATGCTCTGCAGAAATCTGTTTTGTTTCAGTACCAGAATAGAAAGGTGTTTTAATAGCTTAATTCTAAAAATACTTTGTATTACCTGTATTTTTAATTTATATGAGTTATTTACCCCATTCCCACCCACACCTAGCAGCTCCCATAGTATTCTGGATAACTGAGAAGGTTGTAGTTACTGAATATGTCTTATTATAGGAATCTGAGAGCATAACATTCCTGGTAGTAAAACTCATGTTCTCTGATTAATGCCTTTGCATTCCTCTCTGCCTTCTGAGTTAGAGTTTTCTTCAGCCACAAGTGCAGCTGATGATTGGCAATGATGAATGGCAGTGAAATTTGTAAACAGCCAGAGCGATTCTATGATTGTAAGATTATAAAAGCCCTGTGAATTCAACAGGACTTGAGTGTGCTAATATCTGCTGCCAAATGCTATTTTCTAAACCGATATTAGTTTTTAAAAGATAAATTTTTAATAGCTAAAAACATTTGAGTAAGTCTGCTGGGCTGATTACACAAAATGATGTGGGCATAGGATATTATATGCAATAATTGCAGGTTTAGGATGCTTTTTATATCTTTGATGGCAACAAATGTGTTCAGAAAAGCTGCGTGTTCATGGGTGGTTGTGTCCTTAGGAAGTAAATTTGGTCTCTGAAAACAGGCAGCAGACACTGGACCATTCTCACTGTTGCTCTGAAGCCACACAGAGCCTGTGGTGTCTGTCCTGCAGTGAGGCACCAGGTAAAGCTGGGCCAGCACAGTGGAAGGATAGCATTCCACTGCAGCCCCCTGGAACAAAATAAACCCCTTCCAAACCACAGCGATACCGGCGAGTGATCAGGGAAGCTCAGGAAGAGTGGCAGTTGTTTAAGCAGCAAACAAACAACAAAAACTACAGAAAACCCAAACCCACAACTAGGAGGCTTCTTTTACCCATCCTGTATAGTATTATCCCAGCATAACTAAGCTGCCAGCCTTCACAACGATGTGGATATTTGACCCTTATGGTTTTAGATTGCCAGATATCCCAACTTTTACCCCCAGAAGTGTCTTGGTGTTTTCAGATGTGCTTGGCACGTGGTGTCTTTCAACGTGTGCTGTCTGCTCCCTGCCACTGCCTCTACTAGAAGAATACTGGTAAATTGAACAAGCCGTGTATTTTAACCAGAGCAGCTACACCAAGCATCATCCCAAAAGATTTCAGGGTCTTGCCTTTTCAAAATTTGCTGGGGGAGGAAGGTTAGAGGAGGAGATTCTCTATGGGGTGCTTGGTTCCACGTGCTGTTAGTACCTAGACCGTGAGATAGAACCCTTTGAGCTTCCATTACAGAGACCCTGAAGTTACTTCGTTCAGTCTGAGGTTTTTTCTCCTCTCTCTGAAAGGTCGGGCACACATTGCAGACAGCCCTGATTCATTGAAAGTCAGAGACTGTAGCCATCCAGACAGTATTTTTGATTTCCTAAGTGTTCAGAGCAACGTGTTAAAGGTCTCTCTTCTTATTCCGTAACGTAACGGTGCGCGGTGATGTTAGTCACCTTTTATCATGTTTAGATCGCTTCTTTCCCTTAATTGCTATGACAAATTCATTTGCAAAACCTCTGAGGTGGCTTGTTGACTTTTTACATGAAAGAAAGGTGGCCTTTCTGAGCAAGCCCTGAAAACAATCCAACGCCACAAAAATCTTGAGTGGTGTTAGTGTCAAAAGCCTACTCGGTACTGGTCATAAAATTCTGTTGTGTAACTCTGTGCTGTGGATAAATGGGTCACTAGATAAGACTGACAACAGCATCAGCAATGAAAGTTTTTGAGCTGGAAACCAGAGGAGAAAAAGGAGCAATTTCTTTCAAGAGAAGTTACACTGACGTTATTTGTTATTGCTGCAGTTAAAGATCTGCCAGGGTTTCCAATTTAAAACTTTGCTTTCCAGAACACTAAAAACATGTATTTCAAGGTGGACTTTTAAAATGCAAAGACCCTTTTTCCTTGCAGCTCTCTGATGCAAAGGTCAGGCATAATTCCTTATCGCTCTGGGAAGAGCAGGAACACATTAGTGGTGAGTTACCTTCCTAGTATCTCCAGAATGGAGTAACTGGTCGGGCCAGGCTACACTGGTGTGGTGACATTCCTAATGCTTTCCAAACTGAGTAACCAATATGTGGTCACTGGCCAACCCCCACTCTCAGACCTGTACTTAAGAAATGCTATGTCATTAAAAACAAACAAACAAAAAGCAAACAAAGAAACACCACTTTATTACACATTTAGAAGAAGCTTCAGAAATATCTTGAAAATGCCTATTTGAAGAAAGTGAAATATCAACAAAATGATAGTGAAAAAGAATAGCACAGTATTTCTTTCCATTAACTACTCGACTGGCTTTAGAAAATGTTAGTATTTTGGAGCTTTGCACTTTCAGAGTGCTCTTCTCTGTATGAGCCATCCGAGGTAGAATCTAAGGGTGAATTATCACTCAGAAGTGCCAAAGCATTGATAGAGGTGTTCACATTCAAGTATCCCTTGGGGCATTTTGGTTGATTGTTGGCTGGTGAAATTGGACCCTTCCACATCTTTGCACTGCTTACTAGAGGTGGTCTCAAAATCTTTGTTGGAAAACACTTGAGTATTTCTTTAAGAATTAAAACTTGCATACTGGCAGCGTGGGAGTGAGAATCTGGAGGTGCAGTTTGTTTGCAAAGGTTAATGCATATTTGATTTAAGATTGGTTTGTTTTTTTTTCTTTCCTGCTTGTATTATTTTGCCAGGCTCATCCTGTCATGACAGTCTGTCAGCCTGGAAATGACAGTGTTTATATGGTGTTTTGGACAGGACAAAGGGAGAAAGCAAGAAACAGGGGGAGGGTACAGAAGAGACTGTAGCAGTGAGAGTCATGCTTTCACCTTTCCCAGTGATCCAAATTTATCTTGTTTGTCCTTGTGCATTTCTGATGAAAAACTGGGAATGAAGATGAGAAACACAAAATTGGGCCCAAGTTCTTTTTCTCCTGTTTTGAAGCTATGACTGCAGTGCATTGCCCCATACGACAGTCAGTGTGAAAACTGTAAGCATCTGTAAGCTCAGGTCAGCAGTTGGAAAACTGCTCTTCATCAATTGACTACAGTTTATCACCTTGCTATTGCCAAAACAGGTTAGTGATGTTAAATGCAGGTATGGAAAACAAGGAAAGCAGGT